CAGGTAGCCCATGTACAGATGGCTTCATCCTGTTCTGAGAGCCTAATTTTATGGGCTAAACATCAATTAACGTTTCTGTCAATTGTTAATTTTAAGGAGAGTGAAGGTAAAACTCAGATTCTACCTTTACTTGATTCCATCTTTACTTGCACCTTCCTTTCATAAGGGAAACTTTTTTACGTCTTTACAGTAATCAGTTTTCAGTGTTGATTCTGAATCAGTATTTTCTGCAAAAAATGAAGTAGGCCCACAGAGATAATTTCTGTAGGGTAATTTCTGTAGATGAATACCTTCTTGAAACCAGGCAAGAAGAATAAGATGGGACTTTCTTGGAGGAATTTAGTTGTGAGTTCCAGGAAGAATTTGTTGCTGTGTGTTGATTCTGTGATATTTCTGCCATCACTTTAGATACTAAAATCAATGTGATTAAGGAGAGTTGATGAGAAGTTTTAAAAGTTGTAGATATATAATATAAACATTTCCTGAAAAGATGGTAGAAAGATTTCTGAACTGAAAATGTCGTAAGATGCATTTTTAATGAGTTATCTTGTTACAGACCGTGATATGGGAGCCCGTCACCGTGCCCGTGCTCATTCTATTCAGATCATGAAAGTTGAGGAAATTGCTGCCAGCAAGTGCCGTAGACCAGCAGTCAAGCAGTTCCATGTAAGTTATGTTGCAGTGGCTAGCGGGTCCTGGCCTGACGCTGGGCTGGAAGGGGGAGCTCTCTTGTCTTTGAAGACAAAAATAGGGAGGGAGCCAGACTTGGATGCATAGGTTTGCAACTGTGTCATTATGTCTGTAAGTCATACTACTATGTATGACTGCTAATGATAGAACTGTTTGAAAGAAAGTCACACTAAAACAAGTACGTGTTATGATGCAGAAAACTTGCCTTTAACAAGCATTTATTTCAGAAAGAATTGCAAAACTAAAACATCTGTAAGCTCCTGTGAGGTATATCTAGTCTGTCAATGCGTTACTGCTCTATACATAAGTTAGCAGTTAAATATAGCTTAGCTATTTATTGGAAACTATTTTCTGTCGTTCATCTAATATGTTGATTGATATATTTTTCTTGTAGGATTCTAAGATCAAGTTCCCTCTGCCACACAGAGTTCTGCGCCGCCAGCACAAACCACGTTTCACCACCAAGAGACCAAATACTTTCTTTTAAATACAAAAACATGCGGTCAACTCTGTGTTGTAATAAAGGTCTTATCTGAACCGTTTACTCCCAGTTGTCTTTTGGAAACAGTCTCCTGGATACCTAGGAGTCTTTCTTCCCGCTCTTATTTTCTGTAAACTATTGGCAGCCTGCTATTTACAGCTGTGATTGCTTTGAAACATGTCAGTGTGTCAGGTGCTGACTTAAATTACTAAAAAATCCCAGCAATTAACCAACATTTTAACCCAGGACACAGTAAGTCTATTGTTGAGCAGCTATAAAATTCCACATTCACTTGGTCCCTTTGACACACTTAATTAAAAATAGTTGGATTCAGGAAGAAGGCAGCTTTTGTGCATGCAGAATTCCAACTTGTCAGCTACAGTAAGAAGAAAGACCTCGTAACTTCAGTTACACTACTTGAAGTTCAAAGCTTAAATTTAAAGCCAAAACTTTGATTCTAACCAAGCCTTTTCAAGGATGTTGCACACCTTTCTGAATTAACTCATATGTACAGAGGTGCCTGCCCTGAGAAATGAAAAGTGACAAAGGGCTTGTCAGACTTATCTTTGGTATTAGAATGACTGCTCTGGTGAAAATTAATGTTTATCTCCAATCCTTAGGCTACCCAATTTATAATGCTGTGGTGAAAAAAACCCAAACAAAAAACAACTGTTGCAGGCATTGCAGCTGAGGTTAGTTAAAAAGGCTGCTTCATATTTAAAGCCATTTTTTGCATGTGGTGACTATTTTAGTGAAAGCAGTGTGCTTTCAGTGTTTCCTGGACAAGAGATAGGCAGAGAGTTTAACTAGTATAGGGTTCTTGCCCAGAGTTACAGAACTGGTGCTGTGTTTGTCTAGATGGTGCCTCGAGTGCAGTGAAATGTCATCCAGAGAGGAAACCAGGAGTGTTAGTTTTGGGGTAGCTGGAAAGCTGCAGCTCCACCAGGAGAGGAACTGCTTGTTGGTTTCAAGCAAGAGCCTGGCTCAGTGTAAGAGGGGTGGCTGTTCCATTAAAATTGGATCAGACCAGTCACTTTCCACATCCCCAAGCCCCTACATTTCGGCTTTGTGCTCCTCCTCTTTTCCTCTATGGCAAGACAGTTTAAGGAGCTCATCTGTCTGAAACATGATCTGAAAAATGGGAATTCAGGCAATTCATCTCCCAGTCACAAGTGAGGGGAGACTATTAACATGAAGTTGGGAGAAGCTGGAGTGTCACATAGGCATCCCACCAGGTTAATGCCATAGGGTAGGAATGAGGTCACCTGCAAGACCTTGTATGAAAATGGGCCTCAGACAGAGGTTTGATAGAAAACAAGGCAGGGTGGAGCAGCACTAGTTACAGGAACGAGTGCTGGTGTGGCCAACGTGGAAACCAAGGTGCAGTGTGGAACCAGCAGGACTGTGAGCAGGTAACCAGGTACTGCTGCCATCCTTTGCATTTGCCCTCCAGGACCTTCAGGGATTGGGGCTTCCAGGTTCCCTGAGTGAGGATGCCACTGGAACACGTGTCAAGGTTTAATGTTGGGCTGCAGTTTATTGACTGTCAGACAGTCTCTATTAACCCCTCCCCCCCCCCAGGACCCCCCTGCCCAGGCCCC